CCCCTTCACTTCACATCCCTACCACCCGGACCCGCCCCAGGCCCCGCCCCTCTGCAGGCGGGCAGAGCTCACCAGGTTGTCCCAGCAGGATGTGCTTGTTCATCTATGCCTCCACCGTGAGCGCCTCGGGGTGGGGGCCGTGCTTCTCAGCTCCTGGGGTGAGCCTGGGTACAGAGGAGGCATCACCTCAGTCCTTGTCGGGCCTGCCCGCGTCCCGCCACACGCTCCCTGGGAGACTCGGTGTCCCCAAGGGGGCCACTGTCCACCCCTCCTGTCACACTTCCTCTGGAAAACAAAACTTCGAGGTGGCCTGACATCCGGCAGGCTGCTCCTGGCAGCTCCGCCCACGTTTGCAAGTTTCCCTTGCATTAATTTCAGACAGAACATAAATACTGCCAGGGTGCCTCTTCCAGGAGGAGAGAACTGGAACCCAGCGTACTTGCTGGAGAGAAAACACGTGGGCTGGCCGAGGGGAGCCCAATGGCGCTGGAGCCTCTGTGGGAACATCTGGCTCTCCCTCCTCCCCGCTGGCCCCCAGCAAGGCCTGGAAATTGCCCTGTTAATTGCTGCATTGTTCTGGCTGAGGCTCAGGGCTTCTCTCCCAGTCTGGTGGACCTAGGAAGGTATGTGTGTTTCTGACAACTTCCTGCCCTCGCAGCCTCCGGTGGGCGAGCGCTGGGCAGTGAAACAAGTCCCCAGCCGCGTCGTGACCCTGGGCAAGACCCCTCCGGTGTCAGGGTCTCCACATCTGTAAAATGGGGGCCCCTCAGAGGGCTGCTCCGAGTGCGAGACGAGGTTGTGTTTGAGAAGCTCCAGGTATGGGGAGACTCCCTGAGCGGGAGCTTGTGTTCAGGCCATCAAATCATGGCATCAGAGGGGTCGCAGGACCTGGGAGGCCACGTGGCCCAGCCCCACAGGTCGGGGTTGGCGGGTGGCGGGGGGTGGATGGAGACTGAGGCACAGAGAAGGAAAGGAAACCCCCAGGGAAGACCCCCAGGTTCTCTGTCCGCCCCACCTCCCGGTGTGTCGAGGGTCAGCTGCGGCTTCAGGCTGTGCCCGGCCCACCTTGCATGGCTCCCAGAGCTCGTGCCCCAGCTCGGGCAGGGACACTTCTCCTGCTTGTACAGAAGTGTCCCTTAAGTGAGACCTAGCTTAGGGCATCAGGAGACACAAACGCCAGCCCAGCCTCCCCATTTCTGCAACCTACAATTCCCCCTCCAGCTCCACGCTCCTCTTCTTCTTCCTCGCATCTTGCTTTGGACCCCACAAATCCTGGGAGCCCTCGCAATATGAACCCCTCCTCCAGGAAGCCTCCCCTGATGTCTCTCTTCTCTCTCCTGTCCTCCCCCTATGTCTGCATCTTTGCATCCTTGTCTCAGTGTGTCTCCCCCCCACACACACCATTGGCTCTGGGCCCTCTGCCCTCTCCTCTCTGATTTCTGCCCTCTGTCTCCCTCGATCTCAGCTCCCTTCCTCTCCCGCGATCCTCTCGGTGTCTTTCTGCCCTCCCTCTGTGCCCCACCTCCACGGCCTCCCTTCTCCCCTCCTCCGCTGCCCACAGGACCCCAGCAGATGAAATGGAATGTGCCTTCCTGCAGAGCGCTGGCCCGAGAACAGCTGTCGGTGCTGGAAGGGGCAGATGAGCGGTGGCCAGGAGGCCCGCGGGGCCTGGGCAAGTCCTGCAGGCCGAGCCCCAGTGCTGGCAGCCCCACTGGAAACCTTCCAGGACCTTCTGTGCAGGTCCCAGGCTGAGTGTGGAGCCTTGCTCAGGTGTTCTGACCTCAGAGACAAGCCCCAGGCCTTCTGCCAGCCCCTGGGGTCAGCATGCACTGGGCCCCAACTCAGGCGCTGGGCCAGCGGCTGAGCTCCTGGGGTTGGTGCAGTCTGAAGAGCATCACCGAGGACCAGGGCTGGGCTGCACCGGGGAAATCCGCGAGCTCAAGTCTCCCAAGGATAGCATGAGATCATGGAGAGAAGGTGGAGTAACAGGATTTGTCGCTCATTCATTCAACAAACATTCACGGAGACACTGCCATGCTGTGCCAGATGTGGGCTTAGCTCTTAGACAAAGATGAACCAGGCAAGCCCTTGCCCTCGACAAGTTCACAGTCACCCTCCGGTGGCTTGTTGTCAGCTCCCTGTGACAGCCAGCTGCAGGAAGGAGGGGAGCTGGCCAACACGGAGGGCGACTTCTGTGAGATTTGAGGTGATAGCCGGGGCTCTGGCTAGCGGGGGGGGGGGGGGGGGAGAGCACAGGAGGCTGGGAGGGCTTGGATAGCAGGGCAGCCCTGGAGAGAAGGGGGATGGGTTTTGCCAGTTCTGAGGCTGGGTAGGTAGAGACGTCCTGTGGGCTGCTGGGCATTTGGGTCAGGCAAGGGCGGCAGCCTTGTGCGGCCACTGAAACCAGCTGTGGGCGGGGTTTGTTGTCCCTGGCATGTGAGCAGAGCGATAGAGGGGTCCAGGATCCCAGGCCCCCACGTGTACTGGGCGTGAGTAAGAGGAACCCCCACCCCCGGACAGGGCGTGTTGAGAGGACCACAGAGAGAGCAGGAATGGGTCATGGGTTCTGGCACAGACAGCATGGGGTCAGCGCCTCCTGGAGGTGTGCAAGGAGGAGGTGGGTGTGGCTTCAAGAAGGCGCAGCCAGGATCTGGAAGAGTGGGCTCTGGTAACTTACTTCTGTGGCCTCAGTGTGTGACGTCCTCTGTCAGGCTCGTGTGGAGAGCAGTCAAGGTCTTGACTGGACTCAAGTGCTTGAGGTTGAGGCCGTCGATGGCAGCGCCAGCAGGACCTAAGAGCCTGCCCAGCCCTGAAGTCTGTGGCTGCTGCTGCTTCTGTCGCCCGAGGCTGGGCTGGTGTCCCTGGAGCTGTAGGAACCTTGGGGTCTGGGGACGCTTGTCTTCCAGCAGGAGTGCAGTCCAGGGCTCCTGCCACCCTTCGATCCCATCATGCAATGGGGACACGCGAAGGGGTCCCTACTGCCCAGCCCAGGGCCGGCTGCAGCCCCTCTCTCAGGACTGCACTCTGGTAGAAGACACTCGCTCCTCCACCCTGTCAGGGCTGTGCAGCTGCCCCCAGGAGCCAGTCAGGGGGCCGTGGGTCCCTTTGACACCCAGGGAAGACTGAGGCTGGTGGCAGGGAAGCCGCTTGCGTGTGGACCCCGAGCTCAGGAGCGGCTGCTGCTGCTGTGTTGTCCACATCCCTTCTGTGGGCAGCCTGAGACTCCAACCCCACTGCCTTCCTAGTCTGTGCACACTCTGTGCTCCGTGCCTTGGGCTCCCATCCTCACCCAGCTGGCCCCTCCCACTCTTCAGCTAGCAACGCCTCCTCCAGGCCGTCCGCCTGCCCCTAGACGGCTTAGATGCCTCTTGGGTGCCCCAGGACCTCCCATGCTTGTCTGTATCCCAGCTAGTGCCCAGGCTACAGGAGCCTGCCTCTCCAGACTGGGAGTGCCTGGAACAGGACCCTACCTCTTCCGCACTGTGCGGTGCATTGGGCACTCAGTATTTGTTCAGTGAATGATGGATAGGCAGGGGAGGGCCGGGGGGAGGGGCGGAAAGGGAACATTCTTTCATCAGGGCCTCTGGAGCAAACCAGAGCCTCCCCGGGGGTCCGAGAGCTTGAGGGGCCTGCTGATAGTGACTGTTCTCCCTTTTACACCCGGCGCTCCTGAGAGCACTAGAGGGCCGTGGGTGCGCCTGGGGCCTCACAGTGAGTCTGGGGGATGCTGGACCAAGTGCAGTCGGGTGATCTCTCCTAGCGACCTCCAGGTGGAACTTCAGGGGCTCGGGGCTGGGGGGTGGGGGGGAGTGAAGCCGGCCTAGAGGAGCGCAGGCTTGCGGGTGGAGGGCTGCAGGGAGGGTTCCCCCTCGGTCCCAGCCCCTGTGACTCCAGCCTGGCTCCCCACTGAGTCTCTGCCCCCAGACAGCTCCTCCACTTCCCGTTCTCCTGGACCTCCCAGGCTGTCAGCACGCTGATCTCTGGCTTCCTGTCACCACCCTTCACAGGCAATCAGAGTGAAGGTGCAGCGGTTCCCCCAAGATTCCGGGGTGCGTGGTGAGCAGGAGGGGAGAGGGCTGTCCCTGTGAGTAGGGCCCTGGACAGATACCTGACCACCCACACCCTGCTCACATTGAACAGGTGGGGAGACTGAGGCCTGGGGCTGCACAGGGGTGTCCCAGGGCATTCAACATCCACAGCACCCCACCCCCTGGGGATCCTTCCTCGCCCCCTGCTACCCCGCCTCTGAGGCTTTGTGCTACACTGTGCCTCTCTGTATCCATGCCTAGGGCAGAGCTGGCTGCAGAGCAAGTGCACCGTAAGTGTCCGCTGAGTGACCCGCCCCTGGAGGGCTCTGTTCTGAGTTCTACCTCCCCAAGGCCTCTGCCAGCGCTGGGCCCTGCAGTCAGAGGGATTTGGGTGGTCTCCCCCACTGAGATCTTACACCTTGGCAAGTCCTCAGAGGCTCCCTGGGCCTGGGATACCCTGTGTGCTCCCTAAAGGTTGAATAGACAGTGAGCAACACGAACACCTGTGAACACCCCAGCTAAGGGAGGAAGGCATTTTACAAAGAGGAGCCGTAGACCTTGGAGCTGACCCTTGCATGCCTGCTGGCAGCTGCCCCACTGGACAGTCGGGGGCTGGGATTGGCTAATGCCTGAAGCAGGGGCATACCCAGAAGCACTTGGGAGCCCTTACCACCCCCAGGCGCTGTTGCCTGTAATTGTCACAACACTGGCAGCTGCTAACCGCGATCGCTCCCACTGTCCAGATGAGAAAACAGGCGTGGAGAGGTGCAGCCTGTTAGCAACAGAGCCAGCATTTGGACCCAGGCAGGGTTAACTCCAGAACCACGCGCTACCCACTGAGCCATACTACCTCTCAGGGAGTCTGGGCCCTCGACTTCGGTGTGGGTCGCTGGTGCAGAGGCAAGCCCTGGGGATTGCCCGAAGCTGTCTCTGGTGGCTGGTGGCTGAGCCTGCCCTGTCCCTGTGTTTCAGGTCACTTTCTGGGGAACAACACCGTCATCGATGTCCTGCGGCAGGCAGGGCTGGAGGTGGACCACACCCCCGCGGGGCAGGCTATCCTCAGGTAAGCGGTCGTCTCAGGACCAGCGGTGACGGGCTGCCCCCTGCCTTTCTGCCCAGGCCCGCAGGGGAGAGCTCGGAAAAGCAGGCGAAACAGGCCTCGTGGAGACACAACTCATGACCAAGCTGCCAAGGGTGGAGGCCTGGGCTGCAGGGGTGATGGGAGTGAGACACGGTGCACCACGGACCAGTGGTCAGGGTGGGGCCGGGTGTGGCCGTGGGAATTCCAGCAGCCTTGGGATTTGAGAGCAGCTTTGGATTTAGAGACTGGAGAGTGGGTAGGGGTGGGAGGACTCTATGACTCGGGGGTCACTGCCTCGAGGACTGGGTGGGTGCCCAGCCCAGACTACAGAGGATGTCTGGTCGTTCCTCCGTGTCCAGACCCACACCAGCCCTGCTGCCCCCTCCCCGCCTGCTCCTCACCTCCTGACACTGCAGGTGGCACCTCTGCTGCCACCTCCAGCCGTGCCCTCAGCCTCAACTTGCAGCCAGGGCACACCCCTCTGCCCACCACCAGCCACTCTCCTTTCCCACAGCGGGGTCCTGCCCCACCCACAACCCCCCTAGGGGCACTGCCTAAGGGCAAAGGACCAGCTTCACCCTTCTGTGGGCCCACAGCACCAGCCCCAGCCTGGGCACAGCAGAGGTGTCAGCGGCAGCTGGCCCCTAGGTCCTGGGCAGCCCTGGAGGTCAAGGCTGAGATCCTGAGACTCAGTGCCTGCTCCAGCCTTTACCTGGAGACCTTCTTTACCAACCCACAGGGCAGCCACAGAGTGACCTCTGCCCCGTCCCTGACCTCACGAGACTCCGAGAGTCCCAAAGCAGCCTGAATCCTCGTAGCCAATCCTGACTGCTGGCCGTGGGCCGGGCTGTGAGCGCTGGTCACTCATGCAGTCCTCACCACAACCCAGAGCAGGGGGACGTCACATCCCTATCTGAGCCCAGAGAGGTGGAGTCACTTGCAAAAAGACACCCAGCTCATCTAAGTGGCCGCCTGGCTCTAGGGCTTCCCTGAGATCCTGACCACTCTTTGTTCCTGCTCAGAAATGCCTGAGACCCTGATCTTCCGAGACGAGGCCAGGGCCACCTAGAGAAAGGCAGGACTTTCTGGAGTCACCCGGAGCACTGAGCCACCCGCCAGCTGCCTGGCCCCAAGCTGGCACTGCCCTGGCTGCAGGGCCCTGGTAGAGTTATTGCCGGCCTTGCACTGGGGCTCCAGCCTGGTCTCCTTCCTCTTGTCCCCTGAGTCAGGCCGCCAGGACTGCTCTGCCAGCCTGCACCGTTGGAGCCCAGCCCAAAGCAGTTGGTATGGGGGCCAGAGGCAGGCATGCGTTTGAAGGGTGCGGGTTCCAGGGTAACCTCAGTTCCTCTTCTCTCCCCTCAGCCTACCCCATCACTCTGTGTCTGTCCTGGCCAGGGCAGGGGAGGCTGGCAGGGCTGGGAGCTTCCTGTTCACGTGGGAGCCCAGGCGCTCCTGCTGCATGGGCTCTGCTGCCAGGACCCCCACCCAGCCTCAGTCCCCTGCACAGGGCGGAGGCGGGGGGACAGCCAGGAGGCCGCCACAGTGAGAGCATCCCCGGCCACAGGTGCTCCTTGGAGCTCTCTCTCTTTGTCGGCCCGTTTTGAATTAGCTCCCTGACAGCTGCAGCATCTCCCAGCAGCCTGGGTCCCGGGAATCTGGGGGCTGCCGCGGGGGCCGAGTTGATGGCCTTCTTTCCTCCAGAGAGAAGCCTCTCACCCACCGTGCAGTACGAGAATGGCGGGTCAGATGGGCTGCTTCCTGTCTCGGGCATGGCCTCCCGGGGTGGGCTGCCCACCCAAGCACAGTTTGAGGCCACTCGCAGTCTTCTCCCAGAGCCCGTTGTTCCCAGAAAGAATTCCGTGGGGGCCGTGGATGGGAGGGAATTAAGAGGAGAAATGCAGACAGGGAGGTGGAGGCACAGCCCTCTGTGCAGAGCCCGAGTGCCACAGACACGGCTGGGTGACGCGGGAGTGTCTGCCTTGCAGCCGGGCTGCTGTGCCTGCGGTGAGCCAGGCCCTGTATGGAGACTTCATCTCATTCGTCCTCGGGACGTCCCCTGAGAGGCAGGCAGCAGTGTTGCCACCGTGGTGCAGCTGACGACTGCTCCAGACGGCCGATAACTTGCCCATGGCCACGCCACCTGTGAGTGGCAGGGCCGGGATGCGAACCCTGCTGCTCAGCACTGACTGCTTCACCTGCTCCTGCCTCTGCTGGCAGGTGCACGGTCGATAGGCACTGAGGGCAGCGAGGCTGCTGGGCTGAGACCACGGCCAGCAGCGCTCGGCCTGTGAGCTGCTCGGCTGCTCCCCGCTGCCAGGCACTCTCCTACGTGTTTCGCCTGCATCCGCCTACACAGCGCTTACGCGGCTCCCAGTGAGGCACTGCCTGGGAGACACCCCCCCCCCGCCCATTTCATAGAACGAAAGACTGAGTCACAGCAAACTTAGGTAGCTCCCCTACAGCCCCTTTGGCCAGGATGGTTGAATAAATTAGACCCTAACCAAGATCTCCAGTGCCCCAGAGAACAGCCCCAGGCTTTGCCGCCTCGCTTCCTCCTTGTCTGGGCTCCCCTGTGTTTGGTGTTGGGACCCAGCAGGTGCTGTTAGATTCGTAACTGTTGTAATAAGACAAATGGCTCCTAAACAAATGGCACACCTGCTAGGTGTAATGAAAAGGTGGGCTTCTGGCGAGCCCCCACCCCTGCCCCAAGCAGCACCCCCACCCGTGCTCTCCCATCTCCTGAGCAGTCCTTGCCCTCCGGCATCCCCCGTGTTCCATTCTGACTTGGTCTTCAGGAAGCACGCCCGGAGGGTCGTGTGTGCTGTGATCCTGTCCCCGCTGCAGGGCGGTGCTCCGTAGGGAGTCCCTGACTAAGCCATGGAAGAGGGCGTGGCAGCACCGGGCAGAGGCTCAGGCCGGCCAGCAGGGCACCCTTATCTGGTCTCTGGTTGTGACGACCTCCCCACCGAGTCACCCTCCTCATCGCTCCCACACGTGTGCCTCACACGCTGTCCCCTCGCCCCTCTGCAGCCCTGCCGCCGGGAGCCCTGCACCCCTTCCAGAGGGGACCTCAGCGAGCCCAGCCCCAGTGACCCCCACTGCAGCCGTCTCCTCGGCGGCCTCCGTGACCCCTACAGCCCCTGCTGAGGAGGAGGACCCGGCCCTGTCCCCACACCTCCTGCTGCCAGACAGCCTCAGCCAGCTGGAAGAGTTCGGACGGCAGAAGAAGTGGCACAAGAGGCACAACAGACACCAGCGGCCACGGCAGTTCAATGACCTCTGGGTCCGCCTCGAGGACAGGTGAGCTGGGGGAGGGGCAGCTGCATCTGGGAACCACCGGCAGCCGCCATGGCCAGGCACTGTTGCCAGGCAAGGCCTGCTCTGAGCTGGTGTGGCCTACAGGGACCCAGCAGAAGCCAAGATCTGCTCTCTGCCATCCCCGAGGGCCTCTGGTCATCTGTGGGGTTCTTAGAGCACACTCTCATCCTGTTTGCTTTATGTCCTCATGGCAGGGCAAGCCCAGTTGTCCACATTTCAGAGATGAGGAAGCTGGGGCAGGTGCTTGGCCTAGCTGTGAAGCCACCCCCTGGACGGCTGCATCCCACAGCAGAGCCCGTGGCTTCGAGTCCCGGCTCTGCTGCTGACCCCAGCTTCCCACTGACGTGCACCTTGGTAGGCAGCAGGTGATGGCTTACGTGCGTGGGTCCCTGCCACTCAAGGTGAGACCCAGATTTAGTTCCAACCTCTTAACTGCAACCTGGCTCAGCCCTGGCTGTTGTAGGCATTTGGGGCTAAAACCAAGCAGATGAGCTCACTCGCACTCTCTCCCTCCCTCTCTCCCTCTGCATCTCAAATAAATTTTTTTAAAAATAATTTAAAAATGAAGGAGACAGAAACTTCTATTAGGAAAGGCAGGTACTTTGCTGGCCAGGATCTGCTTTGCACTCAGCTTTCCAAGGACACACCTGGTGGGCTCCATTTGCCATGGACTAGAGGTGACACCAGGAGAGACTGCAATAGGCTGGCTATGCCTAAATGGTGTGAGCTCCCTGTGCCTGGGGGGCCTGTGGGATCAGTGCCCGGCAGGAGGCCGCAGGGGGACCCCGACCTGCTAGATGGTACTTGATGCCCTTGGTCTCAGGAACAAATGCAGAACTCGTGATGAACCTTGTTGAAAGTGGCCGGGTGCAGAAGCCCACCTGCCTTGCTAAGACCCCTCCATCCTCTTCCTGGATGTCTCTCCCGCCACCTGCACCCCCAACCCCACAGCCTGCCTGTCACCAAGTTGTTTCCTGCAAACTCCACCTGTGCTTTCGATACAGAGCAGATACCGCTGTGCGGCAGGAACTCCCATATCTGGGAACAGTGTGACCTGGGCACCAGGGTGTCCCAAGGAGGGATAGAGTCCTTCCAACTGCAGTAACCCAGTGCTGGACATGGCGCTCCCTGCTGTGGGCCCAGGAGTCTCAGAGTCTCCATGTGGGCCCTTCAGATCCATCAGCAACCTCGAAGAGAATCACCTGGGGTACTTGTCCAAGAAGGAAATCCCCGGGCCCCACCACAGACCCCACGAATCAGAATCTGCAGGGCGGGGGCCAGGGCAGCTATTCTCGAGGGCGTACCTGAGCAGCTGTGCGAAACGCTGACCCAATCTTGAGTTTCTGGGTGGTGAGCCAAGGTCCCTAGGAGGGGAGTTTGTTCAGGACCCTACGAGCAAGCAAGGGCCCCCATTCGCACTTTCTAATTGGTGTGGAGGTAACTGAGCAGTTAACAGAGGTTGACACGGCCCCACCCACTGTCCTGAAGGGTGGGCTCTACACTCTGAGGAAGTCCAGCCCGGGGAGCCCATGGGTGTTGACTTCCAAAAGCCTGACTTGGGTTACCAGGAAATGAACTTCTGCAGCGCCCTGGCTGGCCCTGCCCAAGCAGGAGGCATCGCCATAGATACATTGGCTGTGACGCATTTGGGTCAGGCACCCAGCATGGACCGCCCCCCTTCTAGCTGGGAGCGAGAGCGCCTCCTTGCGGCGGTAGGGCAGGGTGAAGGAATGGCCGAACAGCCCTCGGGACCCCCCTTAGGCTGGCCACTCAGAGCCCTGATCGCCTTGCCCAGGGTCTGCGAGAAACCCTGCCAGCGGCAGGTCCAGCCCGCAGCGCACAGAGGCTGGGCTTGTCAGCTCCGGCCACGGGCCCTGGCCCCTAACCACGTCTGAAAGGTAAATTTCGGCAAATGACTCCAAACGGTTTCCTTTCTGCAACACGAAGCTCTGAAGCACAGAGCCCAGCTTCGGCAGAAAAGAGCAGCTTTTCTTTGGCGAGAGGGGAGCGCCTTCTCCATCCCAGCAGGTAAATTGTGCTTGGCTAACTCTCCCGCGTCTGCTTGGGTTGGAGAGCCAGTTTCCACCGACGAGCAGTCCGTTGGTTGGAAACCCCTGCCTGCTGCTTACGGAAGCAGGCTCTGATGGCCCCAGAGGCCCGGGATCCCCACGTTGCCAGTCTCCCGAGAGAGCAAGCGAGAAGCGCTGTCTGGGAGCAGGGCCCACTTGTAACCCTTCCAACAGCATCGTCTTCCTTGGGGCATCTTTCGTCCAGTGCTGTCTGCTCCTCGGTCTCCCTGGGGAGGACAGGCACTTAGTCCAGCGGCCTGGCCTAGCTTCACCACTGCAGGCCCCTGGGGAGTGAAGCACATGGGAGCTCCTCACCCCACCCCCGTCTCCTTCCCAGCGCATCTTCTGCTTGTGATCCTGCAACCCGGACTCCCGTGGGGTGTCCTGACCCGAGTCTTGCCCTTGGCCGTTGCCCCTCCTCAATTGGAGACCCTGCAGTGTCCCCCGCCCCCCGGTGGGAAAGGTCCCCCAACCCCAGGCAGAGCCCCCCTCTCCTTCCCCCACCCCTTCTCTCCCGGGGATTGCCCACCTCATCCTCCCGGGGCTGCCACCTGCCACAGGCCATGCCCTGGCCTCCTGCACACCTTTCCCTCTCTGCTCAGGGTGGGGTGCAAGTAGACATTTGTCAAGCTCTTTGTATGCCAGGCATTCACTTCAATGGTGTCCCCAGTCCTGACCAGAATCAGGGGAGGTAGCTGGTTCCATACCCCTGCCAGGCCAGGTGGCTTGCCTGAGACCACATAGGGTCATGGAGCCCGAATGCCGTCCAGGGCTGTCTAACACAGAGGCCACATTCATCGATGACCATCGGGTAACTGCCCCTTCCTCCCTGCAGCCCACCTGGGTGCCCCTGTGCCTGCACAATCACCCTGACTGCAGGTCCTCACTGGGAGGCCCTGGGGACCAGCGCTGTCTGCACTGCTGGGGCTGCCCCAGGCCTTGTTGGGGGCTTGGGAGTGCTGGGGGAGGGTGCAGGCTGCCAGTGGCTGGCCGGGCCCCCACGTGGAGCAGGCCGGCCTCCTCTCGCCCCTCATTACCCACGATGTAAACACAGCGGAGGAAGTTTAGAGAAGCAGCAGCCCGTGGCAGGAGGATTTATGGGGCCCCATGAAAAGAGCCCAGGCTGGGTTCACGGATGGCTACACAGGGGCAGCGCATCCTTAGGGAACCCTCTCATCTGAGAGCCAGGGCGGGGGACAGCAGGGCAGCAAGGGGCCAGGGGCTAAGCAGGGCAGAGGCCATTCCCGTGCAGCACGGGATGTGACCGGCCCATCTGTCGGTGTCTCCCACTGTGCAGTCAGAGCCTTGAGCGAGCTCTGGGCTCAGGCCGGCTCCTGCTCTCCCAGTCCCCGGCTGGCACTCTCAGGTGTGGGAGGACGTGGTGGGGGTGGGGGTTGAGGAACATAAGAAGGGGGCAGAGGCTGGTCCATCAGTACTGGAAGGACAGGGATTATGGACAGGGTAGGGAAGCGAGGATCTCCTAAGTGCAAGGGACAGAGGTGACATCCGTATGTGATGGATGCAGAGCCTTGGGGAGTGCCAGCAGACAAGGGCAGGAGCCCAGGACACACGTGTCCCAGCTCATCTCTGCTGAGGTTCGAGCAGCCCCCAGGAGGAGTGGAAACACCGTGTCCCCCAGGGAAGGGCCCTGCCCACCTCCTGCCTGCCGGTCCTTCCTGCTGGAGCTGGCCAGCCCCAGTGCCTCCGAGCACCTCCCCGCCTCCTCCTCAGATGCTCAAGGCTCCTGTGTGAGGCCAGGCCCCCATCTGAATAGAGGCAGAAGATAAGAAACCAGAGAGAGAGGCGTTCAGTGAATAAAAGCACAAATGTAGCAGAACAGGGTTCAAATCCCAGACTCTCCTTGTACACACTTGGGGACTTAGCAATGGAGACAAAGCTTGGAGCGCACCGAGGTGTCCAGTGACACTGTCAGTTGTCACTGATGTTGATGTCTTTGACTGTCATCGTGTGATCTGAGATCCTCCGGTCCCCACCCCTACCCTGGGTGGGTGCTGTGAGCTCCCCGGCCTGGCAGGACCATGCTGGACCCAGACTAGTTGTGCAGCTCCATGGTTAGTGCCCATGCAGGACAGGAGCAGGAAGAGTCTCGGGTCACAGCAGGACAGACAGCTGTCCAGTACGGAGTCCCAGCACAGAGAAACTGCCTCAGCCCCAGGGAGAGCCCCAGGGACGGAAGCTGTCTGCCTGTGCCCCAGAAAGGATCAGGGAACGGTGGAGACCTTCCCAGCCTGGAGGAAGATACGAGAAGGTGTGCAGGGCTCTGGATATCTGGAGGCCAGGCTGCAGCCAGTCGGCCTCTCTGGATCTCTGCCTCCCTCTGACCTGTTGGCTCAGAGATGCAGAGGCCCAGACTGGGATTACAGGACGTTCCCTGCCGCCCAGTCACATCCAGGGCTCCACCCCCAGGCAGCACAGCCCTGTCCCCAGGCGCTGGGCACCCCAAGCCTGGTCTCCCGTGCCTCTCCTTGAAGCTCCGTAAGGAGACCCCATAGGGCATAGCCCACTGCCCCGTGCCTTGGTATGAAAGCTGAGGCCTGGGGCTGGCCCCCAACAGCTCTTAGGGATCCGCTTGGCTCCAGTTCAGCCCTGCTCCAGGAGGGCCTTCTGCGGTTGTGCCGACGCTGCCACAGGCACTGGCCTTCTGTGCTCTGCTTTCTGCCTTGGGCTTCTGCCCAGGGTCGCACCTTGGCTTCTGCTGCCACCGCTGGAAAGCAACTTGAAGTCAGTGGGTGGTTCTGACCTCAGTGTGTGGACAGGGAAACTGAAGCCCTGAGAGCAGTGCTTGTCCTAAGTCACCCAGCAAGCCAGCGGCACAGCACACACCAGCTGGAGCAGGCTCCTGCCTTCCCAGGGGCCGAGGGCCCTGTCTGCCATGCCCAGCTTTCTGGGGCCAAGAATCCCACCCTTACCTCCCCAACTGACTTCTGCTTTAAAAAAAAAAAAAAAAAAAAAAAGATTTATTTATTTCAAAGGCAGAGCTAGAGAGAGGGAGAGAGATCTTCCATATGCCATTCACTCATCACTCCTCAAATGGCTGCAGTGGCTGATGCTGGGCCAGGACAAAGACAAGAGCCAGGAACTCCATCCTGGTCTCTATGTGTCCCACGTAGGTGGCAGGGGCTCAAGCACTTGCACCGTCATTCACTACTTTCCCAGGTGCATCAGCAGGAAGCTGGACGGGGAGCAGAGCAGCCGGGACTCAAACTGGAGCTCTGATACAGGATGCCGGCACCACAGGCTGCAGTTTAACCTGCTGCGCCACGATGCTGGCCCCTGGATTCTGTTTTTAAAATCTCAAGGAGAGCTGCATCTTTGCTTGCCCTGCAGTTCAGCCCAGTGGGCTGGGCCCCAGGGCACCTGCCTCGTGCGGGCACCTGCCCTTTCTTCCGCACCCTGGCTCCCAGGTGGCCCCTCCGAGCCCCAGTTAGCTCATCTGCTGAGAGGGAGCCCCAAACCCAGGCTCTGGGCTCCCCGTGCACCCCCAAAGCAGGGTGGTTCCAGCGAGGAGGGCTGAGAAGGAATGAGAGCTGTTTCTTTTGTTCCATTTATCTCAGCAGCCGGGGAGGGGAGAGTGGCAGGTCCAGGCTGCATAGACAGCGGTGAGAATGCCGTCACCGAGTTATCTCCTCCCTGCAGCTCCTCCTGCCCAGGACCTGCCCCCAGGGTGACCACATTAGAAGCCTGAGCCCCAGGGCCTGGAACAGGAGGGCAGAGCTCAGCCAGCCTGTCCCGGTGGCCCCAAGCCGCTCACCCACCCCGGGCCACTCACCTGCCCTTGCCCAAGCACCTGGTGCCCTCCCCATTTTATTAAAAAAGAAAAAAAAAGGGCTGTCCGGTCAGGCGTGAGCCCCCAGGCCTGTGCCCAGGTCACCGCTGCTGACGGTCACTCTGCCCTGTGTCTCCTCCCGCCCAGCACCACCGCCTCGCCGCCCCCGCTGCCCCTCGAGCCCACCCACAGCTCCGGGACTGCCAAGCCGCCCTTCCAGCCGTCTGAGCAGCTCCAGCAGCAGGACCCGCCGCCAGGCCCGGCCAGCAGCTCCGCGCCCAGCCACCCTCGTCCCGCCCCTGGGCTCCTCCCTACTTTCGCGGCCGCCCTGGCGGCCCCCTTCCTGCTGCACAGCCTCGGGCCCTCCTGACCTCGGCCACCCCATGCCACCCGGCCCCCGCCCCCCCCCAGGGGGCACCAGCCCTGCACGGGCAGCTGAGCAGCTGACGGGATTGGCTAGAACACTAGAGCTTTATCGTGCCCGAGTTACATCTTCTTTTTTGTAGAAGGATCTTAATTTCCCATAGTGCTATGGGGCTCTCTTGTAAAATATGTGTCCATATTAAAAAAGAAAAATGTATTTATTCTACCGATAAAGCTATTTCTATGTGGCCTATGTCATAACCCCTGAATTAGCCGCAATGCCAACCCAGCACGTCTGTGGCCCCATGTGGACCATGGCTTTGAACTCAGCTCGCTCCCTCATCGCCTCGCCTGGGGCCCCTGGGTCCGGGTTTGGCTTCTCCCACCATGGGGTGCTCCGAGAGAGGGGCAGGCAGACAGGCTTAGCTTTTGTGAAGCTGGATGTGGGAGCTGGCGGTGTGAACACCCACCTGCTCCCCTGCCCTGGAAGGGCACGTCCCAGGCCTGGGGAGGGGTTTAGGAAAGAGAATGCTGCTATTTTGGACCCCCTGAGTGTCTGTGAACCTCCAAGGGCCTGGGGTGGGGGCGGGGCAGGGGGAAGGTAGCCCCAACCAAATGGCAGATGAACCAGCTGAAAGCCAAAGACAGTGGGCCCTGAGGGGCTGCCCGAGGCCAGCCCCTCCCTGATTTGGTGTCCTGGGTCCGGCACGCACCCCTGGGAAGCTGTTGAAGTCCCAGCTACGCGGGGTGAGCTGGGCCACAGCACAGGTGTGGGCACAGAAGGACCGGCACAGGGACATGGGCTCTAGGAGTGGCATTGTCCTAGCGGTGAGGAGAGCCACCGTGTGTCCCAAGCCTGCAGCAGGGCAGGCACTTTGCACACTCACATCGTCACTCGAGATCTGTGCGGTGTGGTCAGCCCCGTTTCACAGATGAAGAAACTGGATCCCCAAAGAGGAGGAGGGACTTGCTCAAGGTCACCCAGCCCCTCACGGTCATTTCTGCCACATTGCCTGCCCAGGCAACTCCAAGGGAGGTGGGTGTGGCCCAAACAGGGGCGGGCACTAGCTTTTCAGTGCAGCCAGGCAGGCTGTCTCACTGGTCATTCCTGGCCCTCCTGACTGAAGGCCCCCCAACTGAGGGTCCCACCTATCCCGTGCCTCACTCATCAAATCCAGGAGCTCCTGAGAGCTGTCCCTGCTAAAGCAGGCTGGGGCTGGGGCTGGGGACAGCTGTGGGGCCTGGGGAGGCAGAGCGGCCACATGGGGGCAGGCAGGTGACTGAGACTCAGAGACTCACCTCACCCTGTGTGCCCAGGGTGGTGGCTGCAGGGCCAGAGGCCCCAGGCAGCTGGACTGATGGCTCCCTGGGACCCGGATGCGCACAGGAACCCTCTCTGGACAGATCAGAATACCAGTAAGAGCAAGTGTAAGGCCCAGAGAAGCAAGACACTTCTCCAAGGCGGCATAGCCGGGGATGCGCCCAGCCTCGCTACACGGGGACTCCTGGAAGGCAGCGGCTGGGCCACCCGGCCATCACGCCCAGCATGGTAGCTGTCTCCCGTCTGAGATGCTGGAAGTCTAGGCAGCTCGTTAGAGAGCCAGAGGCCCCTGGGGCATCCTGGCCGGCAGCTGAATTCCTTTCAGCTCAGCCCAGATGGACGTGTTTGAGCCTGAGACCTGGCAGGAGCCAGGAGCTGTGCTTCAGACGGGCCAGGCAGCCCCGTGGGCACCACACTCTAAACTGAACTTGACCTCAGCCAGCGCTGGAGCACGCTTCTCCTTGGCACAGATGCGCCTTCCTCTTTCCGAGCAGGAAGGAGCTTAGCTGACTTAGAAAACAGAGTCAGAAGTTGGACATCAAACGGATTGTGTCGAGAGCGAGGCGAATGAGATAAGCGTCAAGGAATTAGAAACACACAGGCCAGATACCGCTGTGTTTGGGGCAGAGTACGGCATGAGACATGTTGGGAGGGAGCTTGAGGTTAATTAAAGATGAAGCACTTGGGTAAACAGTCCAGGCACCTGACCGTGTGCCCAGAGCTGTGCCAGGCCTGGGGCCAAAAACGTCAGTGAACACAGAAGGGAACTGCGGAGGACGGGCAGCGCCGGGCCCTGTGCCGGGGCTGAGTCTGAGCCCCTTCCTTGGCCTACAGGAACTCACTGCCCACGTAGATGGGACGAGCAGCTACGCCCTGCAGTGTCCTGGCCTGGCCCTGGCTTCAGGCAGACCCAGCCCTCGTCTCTGCCATCGCCCTCCTCTGGGCAGCCTGGGGACTCCGAAGTCCCCCTCGACCAAGTACATGAGAGTTTAGAGAACAAGAGGCCGTGAGCTGATTAGACGGGCGCATGCCAAGAGCGAGCAGAGCCACTGTGTGCCAGGCACCCGGAGCCAAATGGAGCTCACGGATCCCTTTGGGTCAGGCTGCGGGTACCCTCAGCTCACTTAAGTCCCAGGAGAAGAGGCACACAGACAGGAATCGGCAGGGGCTGGGCACTGCAGCCCTCCCGTCCCAGGCCAGGGAATCAGCCTGCAGGAGCAGCCACTCAACCTCTCTTCCAGAATGCTCTGTGCACCTGGCCTCACCCAGTGGCCCTGCTCCTCGAAGGGCTTTGTGGACCTTCCTCGGGACTCTGCTGCTTGACCTCAAGGCCCACCGCCAAGCTGGTGAAGGCCTGGCAGCTCAGCCGTGGCCCAGCCCCCAGTCTCAGGAGCCCTGACCCTATGGCCAAGAGCCCTGAACAGCCTCGTCTCCTGGCCTCCCTCCAGTGGCCTGTCTGAGGTCCCTGCAGCAGGTAGGGGCAGCAAGAGCCCCGTCACCCAGGGCGGAGGTGGCAGAATCAGGCCGCCAGGGAGCCCCAAGGGCAGCTGAGGGCCCTGCGGCGCTGGGCCTGAGATGGGAATTGGAGACGTGTAGGGGCTTGTGCTGGCTGTGAGCACACCTGCCCTTCGCAGGGCTGGTGTTGGGTACTCAGTGGCCCTGGGGTAAGAACCGAAGTCCTCAGCCTAGACTTCTAGATCCTCCTTGGTCCATCTCTGCTGGCCTCGTCGGCCGTGTCTCTCCTCTCTCCCACCTATGCCTGGCCAGATGGAATCGTGTTTCTAGAACAGACAGGACGCTCCATACCTGCTGCCCCCTAACCTGGAAACTCCCTTCTCATCCCCCTAGCTACTCATCCTTTGAGGATCAACCTGGATAGCACCTCTTCCGGGAAGCCTGTCAGATTTCCTTGTGTTTTTTCAGCATCTATTGCAATACCCACTGCCCAGAGCTGCGACTGTCTGATGGTGTGTCTGCTCCCCATCGGACTATGAGCAGCTGAGTGGCAGGGGTCACATGACTTCACAGTTGTGCTCAACAGCTGTGTAGAGAGGCAAGAAAGCAGAGAGAGGGGGAGGAAGAGAGGAATGAAGGAAAGAAAGCAGAGGCAACGCTTAGCTCTGCCAGAGGAGTCATTTCTACCAAGCAAGAGCTGTGGGAAGGTGGTGGTAAGGTGCCCGTCAGCAGAGGTGTGCGAGCAGGGCCGTGGGGCCCACGCCGCAGACGTGGGAGTAGAGTGGAGGTCTTGGAGGGGCACTGGTGTAGATGACTTCCTAGGTCCCTGATGGCTCTGTACTGCTCAGGTTCTTTGAACGTTGTTATTTTTACAAAAATCCGTCCAAGCAGCCAAAAAAATCACCCCCGCTGGCCGCCTAAGCGGGTACGGCTCAGGACTCAGTCCAGCCTCCCGCTCTCCCGCCAGCACCGCCAGCCCCTCCCTGCTGCTCAACAAGCCAGCCAGGCTTGCCCGCTCCCCTCAAGCGGGCGGGGGCTTGGGGGACTGCGGCGGCGGGAGGGAGGAGTCCTGAGAACAGAGGGATCCCCCCACCAGCCTTTTCCAGGCAGCAGCAGCTCTCCCTAGCCTTTCCATACTGCTTCACTCTGCTCGGTGACCTTGGGCAAGTCCTGGCCCCTCTCTGGACCCCCAGTTCTCCATCTGTCAAACAGAGACCCCATTTCCTGCCTGGGCTGTCCGGGGCTGCGGGTAGGTAGGCCGTGTGCAATCCTGGGGCTCCATGGCTGTGAGGTGCAACCCCTCCTCAGGCTCACGTGTGGCTTTCCTCCCGGGACCCCCAGGCTGGCGTAGGGCTGGGAGTGTGCAGTAGGCCGAAGGGCGACAGAGTAGTGTCCCCTGATGGTCCCTTCCATCCCCCATCCTGCAGCAGGAATGAGTACAGGATCCAAGCCTCAGATGTTTCCAGTGAGTCGCCAGGGACCGACAGCACTCCGACATCTCGGTCCCTGGTGACAAGGACCGGCCCTGGCCAGAGGAGGGTTCGCCAGAGCCTTGGGCCTTACCTAAGCCTCACTGAGATCGCAGATGGCCCCCACCCCGACTCCCTGTGTGACACGAGCTTTGGATCTTACTGTATCTGGAAGGTATTCTCTGGTCTCCGCTGTGAATTCTCACCAAGAGTTCTTTAAGAGTATAATGGAAGACAAAGAAAGATGCTATTAATGTTATTTTGCCAAAAATATTTTTGTAGCATAATATATTAATAAAAGACACTATGGAGCCCGCGGCTTGGTGTGTTTGTGTGTGCAGAAGGCGTGCCTCTTGGGGGAGCTGGGAGGGGAACTGCCTTTGCTTCCAGGGCAGAGCTGCGGCAGGGGAGTGGAGCCACTGGAAGGCCTATTTTCCAAGCAGAGGATCAGGCAGGATCTGGGAGTGCAGCTCGAGAGCAGCCCGGCGGCTACGGAGGCCTCATACCAGGGAGGTGGGGATCACCTCACCA